GGGGGGGGTGGGAGGAGGGTTCGTTGGAATTTGTATGGAAGTATCTGAAACATATGCTTAGCATGGCTTCTTTTTTATGTTTGAATCTTTGTAGAATGGATATTACAATATTTTCAGTCTCTCGTGAAGCTGCATGTGGAGGCAATGTACATACTAGTTTGTACGTAGTAGTTGGCACCACAAGCTATCCCGATCCCCACCGTGCATTCCCCCCCCCATTCTCCGCTTTTTGCCCCGACAAAAACAGCATCCGTTTTCCCCTCCAACCTGTTTGCCCGCCCTTGTTATTTTTTTGCTCATGTCTCCACCGGACAACCTGCCTGCCAAGGTAACAAATGCGGAGAAAGAGAGAACTAGGGATTTTGAGCCTGTCCAATGGCTATTTGGGAGGAATGGGCTCTCGTCACGAGGGTCCGGGTAACTACGTCGTGTTTTTCCCCAGATATGACATCAGTAATAGGGCCAGAAGAGGAGAAGAATTGTAGGTCAACAGTTTTTCTGGAATGGGTATTTAAGGTGGGCGGTGGAATGCTGTAGGCATGATTTCTTGACCAGCGCTCAGAACGGATTTTCGATAGAGTCTGCAAATATGAGGTTCGCTGACGCTTTGGCTTTGGCCATTGCTTTGTTCCCGGGTCTCTCGGTCGCCCAAGGATATACCAATGAATCTGAAGTCCCGTTATATGGGTTGTCGCCGCCTGTTTATCCTAGTCGTGAGTATATTTGTGTTTTTCGGTGTAGGGAGAAATGCTGACAGTGTGCAGCCCAGGGCAATGGTTCGACATCCGAAGCTTGGGCCGCAGCATACGCTCGTGCAAGAGCCGTTGTAGCGCAATTGACGCAGGAAGAACAATCAAACTTGACTCACGGCGTCACGGGACGATGTGTAGGACAGACGGGCGCAGTGCCTCGTCTTGACATTCCTGAACTATGCTTTGCTGATGCTCCGGCTGGTATTCGCGGTCAAGAGTTTGTGTCAGCGTTCCCTGCCGGCATTCATCTTGGAGCGACGTTCGACAAAGGGCTCATGCTGCGGTATGGCCAAGCTTTAGGTCGAGAATTCAAGGGAAAGGGTATTCACATTGCGCTGGGCCCTTTTATTGGGCCTATAGGACGTGTTGTAAGAGGTGGAAGGAACTGGGAGGGTCTGGGTGCCGATCCGTATCTTAATGGTGTTGGGGGCGGTCTGCTCACCAGAGGCACCCAAGAAGCAGGTGTCATGGCGACTCCAAAGGTAAGAAGGTTCCAAAAAAATGGAAATATTGAAAACGGAAGACTAATTTTCTTGGTTAGCATTGGATTGCTCAAGAACAGGAGTACAGACGTAGACCTGGAAGCGAAGGCGAGGCCGTTTCGTCAAACGTTGACGACCGCACGCTACATGAGTTGTATGCCTGGCCCTTCATGAATGCTCTCCGCGAAGGTGCTGTTTCCGTGATGTGCTCTTACCAGAGGATCAACAACTCGTAAGTGGAGTTCATCTTGTATCCTGTAGGGAAAAGCCACTAACTCTATATACCCGCATTCAGATATGGCTGCCAAAACTCAGCCCTGCTGAACGGAGTATTGAAAACTCAATTGGGATTCGAAGGTTTCGTGGTATGTCCGATCCAGGCACAATTTGAAAATAACATGCTTATATGTATTTAGGTCTCCGATTGGGATGCACAACATGCGGGTGTTGCATCAGCAAATGCTGGACTTGACGTAGTCATGCCCGTGGCCAAGTTCTGGGGCAAGAATCTTACCGACGCCGTGAACAACGGATCAGTTACTGCTGAAAGGTTCAATGATATGAACACTCGACTACTGGCAGCGTACTACTATCTCAACCAGGATGAGGCCGATTTCGACACCCAAGTATACCCATACAATGTGAAGCACGAGATTGTAGACGTAACAGAGGACCATGGCTCTTTGATCAGGGAAATTGGGGCTGTAGGTACCGTTCTTGTGAAGAACGTAAACAACACCCTTCCCCTGATTAATCCCCGCTTCTTGAACATCTACGGCTACGACGCAGAGGTAAAGGCCTCGCCCTGGAACAACCCCTCACGTTTCGGCGGCGGCTACGAAGAAAACTTTGGCTGGAACACGTTGAACGGCACGTTGATAACAGCAGGCGGCTCGGGTTCCAGCACACCCCAATACGTGATCAGCCCATTCAAAGCGCTGCAAGACCGGTTGATCAAGAACCGCGGAACACTTCGTTGGGATTTCTGGGGCGTGAACCCGACTGTTTACGCAAACGCCGAAGCATGCCTTGTGTTCATCAACGCATACGCATCTGAGAGCTTTGACCGGACATCTCTCACCGACGAATTCAGCGACCAGCTCGTTAACAACGTGGCCACAAACTGCTCTAACACCATTGTCGTTATCCACTCGGCCGGCGTCCGCACTGTCGACGCATGGTACGACCACCCCAACGTCACTGCCATCCTATATGCTGGTGTCCCGGGTCAAGAAAGCGGAAACGCAATCGCCGATGTACTCCTTGGTGATGTGAATCCCAGTGGCCGGTTGCCATACACTGTCGCTCGCTCCGAATCTGACTACGGCGCTTTGCTCAACTCGACTTTCGATCCTTCCATCCCGGCCTTTTTGCAGTCAAACTTTACAGAAGGGTTGTATATCGACTACCGCGACTTCAACAAGCGCAACGTCACACCACTGTACGAATTCGGCTTTGGACTATCTTACACTACCTTTTCTTACAGCGATTTGTCGATTGAGTCGGTAGTGCCAGAGACTTCGCTCTCGCGCTTCCCTTCTCCCTCGGTGCCGATCGTGCAGGGCGGCCATCCAGAGCTATGGGACGTGCTGTATCATGTCAGTGTCAATGTCACTAACACGGGTAAAGTAGCCGGTCATGAGGTACCGCAATTGTATCTTGGTGTTCCGAATGCACCGCAGAAGCAACTGAGGGGTTTTGAACGTGTGGGCTTGTTGGGGCCAGGTGAGAGCGCTATCGTAAATTTCGAGCTTCAGAGACGTGATTTGAGTATTTGGAATGTAGAGGCGCAGACGTGGGAGTTGCAGAGAGGACGATATGGAGTGTGGGTTGGCGCGAGTAGTCGTGACGTAAGGCAGGAGGGGGAGATTGTTGTACAGTGAACATAACTTATAATGGAAGGAGACAAGTACAACCAGAATAACTTTGCAGTCACCCGACGAGGCTCGAATTTTTTTATAGCGTGACTCCGTGTGCTTCAAATGGTAATATGGTATTGTCCGTATTGTACGGTCAATACTAGAGAGCACTTGCACAGCTTTCTACATATCATGACAGTACTGTTCGAAGTAACTCACTATTTGAACAGCCATTACTTCCATATCGTGTTTCTTAATCTAGAGGGTATTAATCACCATGCTGTGTTTTAATGCTAAGAGTGTCGAATTACGATCTGCAAGACCTAAGATAATAGCGGAGGCACTGAACTATTTCTAAGCATCTTAGCGCCACGCGTATAGTATCACCAGTATTAATTAAGATTAAGTAACGAACACGAATAATTACACAGTTTCTCATCGTATCCTGAAGGTGCAGGAGGAGCCATTTTTTACATTCACTGCATGTTCCTTATGTGGTAGCACTCTACAGAGAAAGCATCATAACTGGCACTATCAGGTCTCGCGATTTCTGAACCATCTAGTCCTAGGAAAAAAGGAGAAGTAATTCTTCAAGTTAGACTCATAAGTCTTTTTCTTTTGCTTTAGTAAGGCAAGAATTTCTTAGCAGCCTTAGCCAAAAGATATCAGGGTCACTGGGCCACCCGGGCTTGCGTGTACGCACTTGGTCTTGAGATGAGATCGATATGAGCTACCGATATAGGGCCTATTCAGTTCTCCGTTTCCCGCCTCTATTCGGTTGCCCTTTTAACTTAGATCTTTCACAAGGAGTGTTGGTTAGTCTCGTAACTGGGCATACCGAGATTGGGAAAGAAAAAGGACGAGAATGTTCAGTCAGAGATCCGTTTCATGACCTTATTTATTTATATGATAGTTATACAACAAGCTATATTTTGGTGGAAAGTGGAAAGCGGTACACTAAAATTACATTAGATAGACTTCTTTTTAACAGCATTCTACTAAGAAACCGGAGTGCAGCCTAGTGGTGGTTAGAAGCAGGGCGTTTTACTGAACATGACGCTGTTTCCAGCTCTTTTTTTTAAGAAGGAGCTGGAATTGGGTGGCAGACGAAAAACGCAGCTGGACCGAACAGGCCCATGGTTGCTTATCTTATATATTGTTCTAGGCGCTGCTATAGGCGGCCCGAAGAGGCACCACACCGGGCCGAGCAAACGCAATAGGGGTCTACTTAGAAACGGAGACTAGTATAACAAAAGTGTAATCTATACCGAGAACCCCTTCAAAAAAACTGCTAACAGGGTGGTCTACAGTTCTACCGCAGTATCGCCGTAGTAGCACCCTAGTATAGGTAAAGCTCTCTCTCTCCCTATTCATCACCCTTTTTGATTCAAATCTTGTATAAGTAGTGTAGTATTATAGGAGAGATGAAGATAATCAACGCCGGATTTTCTCTATTTAGCTAGGAACATGTCGGGCCGATAGACGTAGCGCTCGGAATTACCTTTGAAAGCGCCCTGTATATTATTTCATGTATCTTTACAATCGTCTGTCTTGGTTGTGTACCAGAACAGCCGCTTAGCGCTAATGCTGCCGGCCCAAAGGAAATTCGACGTGCTAGTTCGTAGTAGGATTGATTATAGGAGGCGGCGTAATGCTAAGACTTGTGTAATTACAATAGTATGTTCTTGAGATTGGCGAACAAATCCAAGAGTCGCTATGGTTGTATATCACCGGAACCCCTGACGACTGATGCTGCTAGGTCAGTCAAGAGGCAAGGCGGAACCAAAGAAGGCGGATAGGCGACTCCCGCGTTACTTGACAGTAAGGCCTGTATGACCTCCGTACGCTTGTGAGATGGAATAACCCGCCGCACTACTACTCTATCTGATCACCAGTAAATCAGCTCTTGAGGGCTGGTGCTAAGAGGTGGACGGGCGGGTTTAGCATTCCGTATTGCTTACTTGGCTAAGTAGGTACCAAGGCCACTTCTCAAGGGCTATCCTGGAAGACCGAAAAACAACCACACTGAACCGCGAGACCATATCGATCTACAATGAGAGAGCAAAAGTTAAATCTATAGTACGTACCAAAAGCTCAAAGATATATAAACAGCCATTCTCCCGCTGTAGTATCATCATCACAAACAACAAAAAATCACACTCTTTTACAATACTTCTATACCTTTCACTAATCGTCTGTACGATTACACCCTCTGTCAACCCAAACGCAAGCATGCAGTTCCGCTCCATCATCCTCGCTGCCACCGGCCTTCTCTCTGTTGCCTACGCTGCCCCAGCTTCCGGTAGCGTCGTTGCTGAAAACCCGATCTTCACTCGCCAGTGCGCCGCAAATGGCGTGTGCTCAACCGACGTCAATGGATGCACGAACCTTCGATGCTGCTCTGGCGTGAAGCAGGTAAGAAAATATATTTAGTGCTCTCGTTTCCCAACATTCTAGCAATATCCAAAAACGAGGATTCAGAGAGAAACAAACTAACGACTGGATGTATAGGGTCAAGGAAATGGCGTCTGCTGCTGTGTTTAGTTTGCTTGAATAAATAGCGGGTATTTGATGAAACTGGAACAGGGAGGGGTGTCAGAAGTTTACCGGGGACTTGGTGCCGAAGAACCTCCCTTCATCTTTTTTTCTTGTTTTTCGAGAACGCCGTGGATGGTGTATTCGATATTAGAGAAGCGAAACAAGAAGATTTTCAGTATTGCAGTGTATTTTGACAAGAAGTACTGTGATTTCGACATTATGTTTACAACCCGTGAACGGCGCCGAAGAGGTGTGCATATTCGATCATACATTGCTATCTACCCGCTCCTATAATTACCAGCTAGACTATTCGCTCTACTTGAATCATGTTACAACTGCTGACTGTTTCGCTGAGCCTCACTGACTCAATTGACCTATTTACTGTTTCTTTCTACCACTACAACCACTAACTGCTGTATTTATTAGGAACAGTAAGTGATAATTACTCTCCATTACTTAACTGAGTCTAACTAAAAAAGGAGGTTCTCAACATTGTAACATAGCTCTGATAGTCACACGGCACTCAAGGGAGATTGAGGATTCGGCTGTATATCACTCTGGCTACCCATTTATCTAGCTGTCCCAATTACCCCTTTACTGCAATCACCACTACTCCATTTGATCTTGCTGCTCGAGCTACCTTACTTATCTCCCGTAGCGAGAAAGAAACGTCAACATCAATCACCTAACATCGCCCAACCACTACTTAAAAATGGAAATTCCCCGCCATCTCGGTCGACATTTAGTGTCAAAAGAGGTGTTTTTTGGAGTCAGTCATCTTGTACATGTCTTTACGAAACGTTATCCAGACTCATCAAGCTATGTGAATCAACCTAACCGTATCATCTTACTAGAGAGAGAAAAGAAACAAATCCCAATATGTAACATGACAGTACATCCCCTTTCCCCCAACACAACACATCAACCAAGTCCCTATACTTACTCCACTTATCCCTTACCTTGTCTCATATCTCCTACATCACCAATACTTCCCTATGACCTCTCTACATTGTCATGTAGCCGGTCTTCGCACTCAAACAAAAAGCAATTCACACCCACATACCTATCAACCTCCTTTCTTTTTAATCCAATGGTACAAAATCGTCCTATAAAAACACTCACGCACACCGACTCCACAACAGCCCACAGCTACACCGTCACTTCCACATCTACACCCCCTTTTTCTCTTTTCGATTACAGCCCCTAGAAGAAAAAAAGTGAGTATGCGACTCACCGGAACACTACAAGCGGTGTGTGTCCCTCCCAGCCCAACACAATTTTTTTCCTCAGCTCGATCCAGCAGTGTGGCATCATGAGATGTCATGCATGCAATCGACTAGCTCCATCCCTCTTTCCTTTTCCTTTTCCGCTGTGCAGAGAAAAAAATCCAATCAGCCGGGAGAGAGAGAGGGGTGAGTGGACACAAGGATCATGTAACTGTGATTATTCTTCGGGTACTAAGAAATATGCGCCCCACTGACAACACATGTTGATGAGCTGCAATATTCATGTACATTTAGCCACGGCACAAAATATTCATGTTTCATGTGTGCACATGCATGCTATAGTGTAGAAGGAGGGGGGGGGGAATGTCGAGACCCGAGGTCCAATACCTCGAATATTCCGAACCTCAAGCGAGAGATCAATAATGTGTTACGCCCGAGGTTGAACTACCCTTGTATACCCGAATCTCAAGCGAGCACGCAAGGAAGGCAGGATACGGAAAAACCATGGCTCTAGCTTTTTCAGCCTCAGCCCCAGCCGTTAATCCGTCTAGTCCCCTCAAAAAATCAATCACAGAAAAAGGTGGTGTGACATTCCCGCACCCAAGAACAAGCAAACCCTTGCGCCAAACGGCCTTCTAGCCATCACAACCCTAATCTTTTAGTCTCCCGGGCGGCGCCTTGGAAAACTTTTCCATCATTCAAAAAAATGCAAAAAGGAAAAAATTCCGGGCACAATCGGCGAAAGCAAAAAATGATTCGCCATCTAGCCATTACTCGCGCTTTTTCCATTGAAGAGATCAAACCAGGGATCAAGGCACATCCACTATTTGAGCGGGAATGCCATGCATTAGCGTCCATCAGGTTTTAAAAAACTTGGATTTTTTTTCTTTGCACTAGCATTTGGAGATGGTGGGCTACTGCTACCCGCAAGCTAAGTTCGGAACGGCTTCAGGGCGAGTATGTGTACGCTTCGTACGAACAAGTGACAGGGTTGGGCTAACGAAAAAAAAATTCATCTGCAAAGAAAAGGCACACGTGAACAGCAGGAGCAAACCTCGGTTGGGCTCTGCACACGCACGCGCGGGTCGGGCCAGCGTGCTCTAAACCCAAACCCAAACCCAAACCCACAATCACAATCACGAGAAAGAAAAAACCCAGGTCAATGAAGTTCTTCGGCAAAAACGACTGTCAGGTCTAGCCTCGGACCATATCGTAATCCACGGAAAAGCCAGAGTAATCACACTTCCACTCGGATAAACCTCCCCCCACCCCCACCCATCCCAGCACGTGACATCACCAACCCATCCCACCTTCCAGCCTTACCCGCAAAAAGCCGTTGGAAGCATCGGATCTCTCGGAGGTGTTCGCCCGAAGACCCCCCCCAAACCTCTACCTCTGCCTCCCACTCTCCAGCAAACAAGCACAAGACGAGAAAGATCGACCCCATGACGTCCCCCCCAAACAAGGAAAAGCCGTCGATCACACCATCTATGCAACGTCTCTTTCCCTTCCTCTAGTGGCGACAAGACCACCCCCCCCCCCCCCAAAAAAAAAAGTTCCGAGGAAACCGAGGCGAGATATAAAGTAGTAGTGTCATCGACCCTGCATTCTTTCCACATGCCGCATGTTGCATACAACGTATGAGCAAAGCGTGATGCATAGTGTCAGACGTCAAATAGGGTCGTGCTTATCAAGACGACAAAAATGTAATGTGTGCAAGGGGCGAGACCGCACCACCCCCCAGTCCCCCTAGTCCCCTGTGATGAGATGATGGACGGACGAAAAGGGCGGAGGTAAGATACGTGCAGAAGAAACAACGCGGATATAGCAAGGTAAAAGAAGAAGATGTGTCAAGGAAGCTGTGAAACATTACCGCAGTACATGTCCATGTGGTGAGATACGGAAATACGGGCTATACGCGAAGCAAATGCATGTCTTCCGCAGATAAGTGTTTTGTTATCACCGGAGTGGACTTAATTTTTTTTCTTGTGTGTCTCTCTTTTTACTTACTCCGGGCTAAAATCCGGGCGCGCACAAGCGAGATCGGGACAAACCCCACTCCACACCGTTCGGGGGGGGGAGCAGATGATCTACATACATACATACCACGCGCTTACGGTAATCTTCACAAGAAAAAGGTCTGACAAAGGCCATCTCAAGCCACACATTAGTCAACCCTGGTTTCCCAAGTCGGACGTGGGCAGTTGTGCCGAGAGCGTGATAAGACTGTTCCCTCTCTGGTTCTACTATCATGGCTAGCCAAGTCAGCACGAGTATACTTAGTAAGGTTGACGCGTATAAGATGAGTAGCGGCGTTTAAGGGAGGCCATGGCATGGAGAAGGAGAGAGAGAGGGGGGGGGGCAAGCGTGTCTTGGTGTTGATATTGAATCGCTTGGTTGAGCACTGCCCACGAGGGCATGGGACAAAGGCGATGGCTGAGGTAATGGTCAGATTTGGGGCTGCCTGAGGTGCAGAGCATTGCCTTGTTTGGTACGCCAGGGCACACCCTAATTGGTAGTGTATCTTCTCCGCGTGGAGAAGAAAGGGGGCTCTTTTTTTGATGCTGCTGATGAGGAGTAGAGTCGAGACCGCCGCACGCGAGACAGTGCCAACTCACACTGAGTAGTGAATAGGGGTGGGCAAATGACAAGGAGAGCGTCAAAGGCTGTTTGTGGACATGGAGTCAGGGGGGGGGGCGCGTCTTCGCTTCACTTGAGCCCTGCATTATGCTGCTGGGCATAGCGAGATTGGCGCGCATTTGGCCAGGTGTTCATTCTACTCTATTTGAGCCGTGGGTGAGGCAGTAGTAAGTATGTGTGTAAGGGGGTGGATGTAGGTACGTAGCATGGCATGCGTAGCTTGATTGCGCTGGCTCATAGGCTACACCGCTGCACATAGACACACGCACACAGCGCTATAGGCGCCGAAACGCCATGTTGAAACCTGCTTTGACCGCGCAACGCGCACCGCCCTGTTTTGATCTCATTGACTGCTCTGCCTCGCGTTTGACGCCCATGCCACGTTGTTGTTTCGCGACATGTGTCGCATACAAGAACGGAGCGGGTACCGCTGTGGAGAGCGCGGGGAAGATGAGAAGAAAAAAGGGCGGCCTCGATCAGCGCTGAAACTTGTGCGGCCTCGACCATTTGTTTTCGTGTTTCCCATTGTAGTAATTCCCGGACAAAGGTGGGGGGGGGGATCGAAGGCCTATTAGATGAAGGTGCAAATGAATGATGGCATATGTTTGCGATACGGATCATCGCGCCCCAGGAGTTCCGCTCCGCCTCTTTCCCACCCCCTCTGGCCCGTGTTTCGCCCGATCGGATCATCCAGACTGCCGACCCTCCTGCATCGAGACGAGCGATCGAGGTCCGACCGGAACACTCAAGAGTCCGAAGCCCCTAGCACCATCATCCCACGCCCTACCATTATAGTACTCAGGACGGTTACGCCCGTATGCCTCGCGAAAGAACCATGCCTTGGGGGGGAGGGACCTGGCCGAATTAATCCGACGAACGGCGGCGTGCGCTATTGGACATGCTAGTATATTCGCTCGAGGCAGATGTTCCGCGTCACCTGGCCATTGAATGCAGACACGCGGGTCCGCTTGCAGTGAGTCAATGTATTGTAAAATATGCGAGGACACGAGTGTGGGTGTGGGTGTGGGT